AGAAGGAGAAAGAGAGAGAGAGAGAGAGAGAGAGAGAGACTTATAAGAACAAAAGCGGGTCTCTCCATCCTTAATTGTCTAAACAACCTTAATTGACTCATCATAAACATGTAAACACGCTGGCCTGTCCTGTGTGTGTGTGTGTGTGTGTGTGTGTGTGTGTGTGTGCGTGTGTGTGTGTGTGTGCGCGCGTGCGTGTGTTAGTGCGCTCTGCTCAGCGCAAAGGCCCACGTGGGACAATTTTTTTTATATGTTAATTGGTCGCTACCTCGCGGATTTTCGTTTATCGCGGGTGGTTTTGGTCCCCATTAACCGCGATAAACGAGGGATTACTGTATGTCTGGAGCCGCAAACAACAAAAAGCCTTATAATGAAGGCAACATATGCTGTTTCTATATGTGTTATATTAGCCTGCTATCAACATGACTAAGTTGGCTACAAATACACAACGAGCATTCATGATTAAATTTTTTTTTCCCCTGCTGTTCATCCGGTAGAGGAGGGGTGCCCAAACTTTTTTGACGGAAGATCTACTTTTCGAACCACCAACCCCCCACGATCGACCCGTTACCGCACATGCACGCATACGCACACACTTACACACGCATGCCGTAATGAGCAACAGCCATCACGGCCGCTGAGATGAACAAGGCACAGGACGCACTTTCGCAGCGTGCTAACTATCGTAGCTCACGTGGACCGTTTAAAAATGCTTCTCTTGGCCACCCAGATTCCGATTCATAGCAAGTACCCTCGGTGAATTGTACATGAAACGCAGCTGGGTTTTTTTTTTTTTTTTTTTTTTAACAACAGACCCCTGACTGACATCCTGCCCTGCAAATAGAAACGTGTGTCGCAGGCTATGATGCAAATATTTGTTGAAATGTTGACATTTAATATTTATTGAACACATTTTACAGCATCGGAAAAATGTTAATGTTTGTGTCATGTTTGTCCTTGACCATATTAAAACAAAAAAATATATTTCCCATGTTTTTCAATTTTCACACATTTTTGAAAAAGTTCTAGGGAGCCACTGGGGGGCGCTAAAGAGTCGCATGCGGCTTGAGAGCCGCGTGTTGCCGGCCCCCACCCAAAGCCAAGTAATCGCCAAGACTGACTATGGATACCACCTCAGGAATGGAGCTATGATCAGTCACCTCCTCTACATGGATGAGGCCAAACAAAAAAGAGAGTGTGTTTCCGGTAACAAGAAATTTCAGCATAGGGTCGGTAGGTCGGA